CCACCGATTGTGAGAGCGCACTCAAGAAGAGCACAAGCCTTGTTGGCCGCCTTGCTGGCTCACATCCCTATTCAAGACGTTTGTAGGGCTGCTACATGGTCATCGGTCCACACGTTCACCTCGCATTATGCGATCGTCTCCCAGACCAGGGAGGACGCCAGGTTCGGCAGGGCAGTGCTCCGTCCCGAGTGTCTGTGAACTCCTACCTACCTTCAACAGATATAGCTCGGGAATCACCTACTGTGGAATGCACATGAGCAATCACTCGAAGAAGAAAAGACAGTTACCTTTTCCGTAATTGGTGTTCTTGGAGATGTGTTGCTCATGTCCATTCCACATCCTGCCCTCCTTCCCCACTGTCGGAGTTGTCGGTCAAGAAGGAACTGAAGGTGGGGGGAGCATGCAGCGTCCCTTATACCGCGCCACTCCAGGGGTCACTAGGGGCGCTCCCCTACGGCTACTGCTAGGGGGAAAACTTCCAGCACTGGTGCACGTGGAAGCACGCACACCTATTCTGGAATAAACATGAGCAACACATCTTGAAGAACACCAGTTACGGAAAAGGTAACTGCCTTTTATTTATGGGAGCCATTTCTTCACTGGCAGACAGACTCCTTCTCACGCTGCAACCTCCCATCCTCTGCACAAAAATAGCTCTTTAAATGTTGGGATTTTCTTGTGATACTCCACTACTTGCACCTTGCACTCTGCCTATTCTGGGGATGCAAGTTCAGGGGTTGATAGAGACACGCTCCTGTTATCCCATCAGGATTCAGGCCTCAGGCAGTCCTCTTATGTCAAGCTCCAAACTGGTCCCTGTGCTCTTGCTTTCCTGTTACGTTTGTTTGCTTACTCACCAGCAGAGTCAATCAGATTTTTTTCAGAATAAATGTTTGCTCTTTTTTTTAACCAGCTGCACTCAGTAATTCACAGAATTTCAGTCATTTGCAATGGCTCTGCCAGGCAGCAGTGTAATGAACAAGGTTCCACTGTTCTTCTGAACTGAATTGAAACATCTGAAGCAGAGAGAGTTTATCTTGCAAGTGCTAAAGCTCCCAGCAGATGACGCAAAGGCAAGTTGTGACAGCTATTACATGTAGTCTGTGCAATTCGGGTGCTTGTTTTGCATTGTCTCTCCTCTAGCTATTGAGTCACAGGTTAGAAATCTGACAAGATGTCACTAGTTACTGCTCAGCTTCCAAAAAGTGAACATGGAAATAGCTCATGCCCATGAAAAGAATAGTATAGTTTGCTTGGTATGCTGTACGGGATGTTTCTCTCCTACGGTGAGTTAGTCCAGTTGCAGCAGCACCACACCCGACTCTGCTGGTGTCTCATGAAGGCAAGGTTGAAAAACAGGGTGTCTTGGCTCTGGGGAAGGAGGTGGGTTGGGAGAATGTTGGTTCTCATGTTCCTATCTCCTCATTGGTTGGTTGCCTTCCCTTCTCATTAGCTGCGGGCCTGAGTTGATAGGTTTCTTGGCAGGGAGGATGTATCATGTAGGTATATGACCTATATGTATAATGAATAATATTATTAACAGCTCTGTTATTGGGACTGGAGGCTTTGGAAGTGGGTGGGTTGGTAAGGACTTCTCTCTCCACTGAGCCATCCATCTTTGAGAGTAATAGTGCAAATAGACTTATCTGATCTGGCCAATTTAAAAAATCTCCAGAGGAAAAATCTGTGGCACTGTAGTTACGACATTTGCTGCTGTTAGTGTTTGGAGAAGCAGCAGGTGAACTGTAAATAAGACCATGATGAGGCTGAGAATGACTCTTGTTTTGGGCTTTGGTTTTCTTCTGGTCCATGTTAAAGGTAAGTGATCTTATACCTGGGACTTAGTTTCTGGGGTGAGACAGAGTTAGAAAAGCAGTAAAACTTGTGTAATGTTAGCACTGCTTGGTTATTTAGTAACAATACAAAGAGTTGCTGTTTCTTTTCTTTTTTTATTATTGTACTTTTTTTAAAAGTATTTGTCAGATTGACCCAGAGTGTTCAGGTGGGCTCTTGTAGTTTTATATATCTAAAGAAATACATAACTCTTTGGACACACACGTACACTCAGAAGGAAAAAAATGGAGGCGTTGAGAGATAAGGATGCATGAGTTGAAGTTAGAGCTGACAACCTAAACTGGAGATCTTTCTTTTCTTCCCTCAAATTATTTAAAACTTGGGGCTTTGACTTAGAATGTTGCTTTTAAACAGTAGGTTTAAGATGAAAACTTATGTACAAATTTACAAAGAGAACATTTGTCAGATAAATACATTTGGACACATAGACATTTTTAATAGCATATTTGCTCATTGATATTTTGAGGCTTATATTGTAAAAGCAGATGCTGTGTTTTCAAGATGGCTGTGCTTTAATGTTGTTGCTGTTTTATTGACCTCAAGAGCTCTCTGTTTCTAAAAGTATCGGATTCACATTACATATTCATTCCTAATATTAATAAACAGCTGAAAACGTTTTGCCCATCGGGGGGAGGAGGAGTCTGATTGTTATTTCTTCAATATTTGCTACATTCAGAAATAAGTTATATCAGAGCTAGCAGCAATATAGAGCAACCTGCATCTGCCGGTGCACAACACCTTTGCAAACTTTGATTCTTGTTATGTTTTGATGAACAATAAGTGTTAATGGGTGTGTTTGAAATCACTGGTTAACCAACAGTTACCAAAAAATAGTAAATCTTTCCAAGCCTAGTTATAATCCCTAGAAAACTGTGCAACGATAGATGGCAACACAGCCTTATCTTTAGTGACTGGAATGATGCTCTATTAAAGTGAAGGGATGTGCGGGGGGGGGGGGGGAACTTATCACAGCTGGGGAAGAGGAAATATCAGGGAGTAGTATTACAAAGCTAGCAATATGAACAGCGATGAGCCACAGTCTCTCTAAGATTGGCATGCGGACTTTCTTGTTCTCAAGTATTATCTTATGCTGGGAGTCATCTGTTTATGTAATACTGGCATCTGCAAGCTAATTTCCACATGCATGAATACCCTCTGTATTACATGGTGTATTTTAATTTATGGGATAGGCACACAGAGCATTGAATTGGTGTGTATAGCGTGTTTTATAAATAAAAACTGGAAGGCATGGAATTCTGTGGCTGCTCCCTGCTCTAGCCCCAACTATCCCATTCTATTTAGCAGGTCTGTTTCTGGGGAAGAGAAAAAGTCTGGAAAGAAACACCTCACTTCCACTGGACATACAATGTAGAAGCTCAAGATTTAACATTAGTCTCATTTGCACAGTATAGAAACACCTACTTGCTTCACCTGTGTACCAAATTAGTAGCTGTACTTTGCTGTTCTTTTGGTAGCTTGTACCTAATGATCAGGGTGCTTTCCTTAAATGGCACCTTAGAAAACCAAGGCTGGCTTTTTTAAGTGTAGGACAGCATCTACTGAATTTTATTATCAGCATATTTATCTTGCTGTGATGAAAGTTCCAAGGGGACACTCCTCAGATCCAGCCAAGTTGTGTTTGGTGAAGGACCTAGGAAGGATGGCCAATGTGCTTTTATGCCCTTAACCCAGAAGCTGTGGATAGCTGCAGGACAGCTCACCCTTCATACAGCCTCAGGGCTGGTCTGAATTGCACCTGGCTGCTCGGGCTCCCAAAGATTGCTGGAGCACAGCAGCCTGTTGGCCATGGTCCCGGCTACATTCCCACGCAAGCTGTACAATATGTTATATGGGGATTCCCATGACACATATAACTTCATGGGCTTTTTCTACCACCCGCTGAGAGGCACAAGGCAGCCCTATCAGACCTGAGGATCAGGCCCCAATATGGTTAAGAAACCAACACACTGGCTGACACTTTACTTATTTTTGTTGATGGTTGGTTTTAGTTATAATTTTTAAAAGACAGTTGATTTTAAGAGTGCTTTACTCTCCACGGCCAACAGTATCACTAGTCTAAGAAATCACATAGAAAGAGACATCATGCAAAGACAATAGATGGCCAATGAAACATCCATTAATGCAACAGCAGAACTGAAACCTCAGTAAATGAGCCTGATCTAAAAGGGAACCATGCTTGTTACCTGGTAAATGAGAGATTTGGAAGACTGAAGTGTGCTCACTTCACCAATAAAGGCGGGGAGAGCACGTTGAGCCTTGTGATTGGGTGAACCCAAGGGGATGGAAGGCTGACTAAACCAACTGGCGGGGGGCTGAGAGGAGGACAGTTCTGCCTGAAGGAATGGGGATGATCTCCTGACTGTCTCCCTGCATGTGGGAGTTGTCTATTTTGCCCTGAAAGGGATTTGCCAAACTACGCTGGGAGAAAGCATAGGACTTAGAAACACCAACGAAGGCCAAGACCATAATAGGGTTCAAAAAAGAACTAGATACATTCATGGAGGATAGGTCCATCAATGGCTATGAGCCAAGATGGGCAGGAATGGTGCCCCTAACCTCTGTTTGCCAGAAGCTGGGAATGAGCGACAGGGGATGGATCACCTGATGATTACCTGTTCTGTTCATTCCCTCTGGGGCACCTGGCACTGGCCACTGTCGGAAGACAGGATACTGGGCTAGATGAACCTTTGGTCTGACCCAGTAGGGCCATTCTTATGTTCTTAAGGAGGTCCCTTATATCGTGGAGACTTTTTCCACTGCGAGTAACACTTACTGCTACCTCAGCAAGGTTAGCAGCCTGGGCAAACCGTGCCCTCACCATCTTACCGCACTCAAGCAGCTTCAGGCATGCAACACCTCATCAAGGTAGTTGGTTCCTCCACATTATGGAGCCCACTTGTGTGGAATAAACTGAACCTGTGAATCCAGGAAAATCCACCCTGGGAGTAGTGTTACTTGCAGATTGTATGGAGTGTTTCTGATGTACCTAATCCAAATCCATCTTCCCCTTCCCTTTATATGCTTCCTCTATATTTCAACTTGTAAATAAAGTGTACCTTCATCCATTATGGAGGTGTCAGAAGAGTACATGTGTGAGCTATCAGGCTAGTTATAGGGATAAGTACCGGGTCAGTGACAGTCAAAACCACATATGTAGGTAGGGGAGGGTTCCTGACTATGGTAATCAGCCAGGTGGAGACACCATCAGTTAGCAGCTAGGAACGCAGATGGTTGAAACCATAGGTGCTGACTCCTTGTGTGCTCCAGGGCTGGAGCACCCAGAGAAGAAAAAAAGGTGGGTGCTGAGGACCCACTGGCAGCCCACCTATCAGTGCCTCCCTCACCCCCCAGCACCTCCCACTCACCGGCGGCCCATCGATCAGTGCCTCCCCCCGCCATGGATCAGTTGTTCCACAGCATGCAGGAGGTGCTGGAGTGGGGGAGGGGGAGGTGTGCGGGTGGGGTGTGTTCAGGGGGAGGGGGCGGGACAGGGCAGGAAGAGGTGGGGCAGGAAGAGGCAGTGTGGAGCCTTGGGGGAATGGGTGGAGTAGGGGAGCACCCCCCAGCACATTAGAAAGTCAGCACCAATGGTTGAAACCCCCTGCGGCCAAAGCAGAAGGACACTGGGTGAGGGCTCCTGTTAATGATTAGCTGCCTGCAGGGGTGACCCATAAAACCTCCTTACATTAAGAAAACATTAAATTAACTCCATGGCATGTATATGGGGGTAGGGAGAGAGCATTTATTGTTATCCAATACACTGTGTTTCCATCTTGGCTAATTTGAAGGTCAGGAAGGTTTTGTAGACTCAAAGCCAACAGGATCTTCAGGCACCTGATGGTAATTGCACGAGCAATTTGATAGTACAAAATAACAGACCTCTTTGTAATTTGAGAAAATGTTACATGGTTCCACGAATAAATAGTTTCACTGGAGTAAAATAACAATAATAAAAGCAAATTACACTTCTGTTTTATCAAACTCCTCTCTGAGGTGCCAATTCTGGGATGGGAGGGCCTCTGTGCTATGTAGAAAACAAGTAGTCATCAGTGGGGATCTACGTAGGTATGAAGGGTCCTTGTGTAATATTTAAATCTCAGTCTATGGGATTTTCTACTGAACCGCACCAGGGAAAGCTAATACCCATCCATCCTGATGGAAACAAAAGTATAACTATTTTCAAGAAAAAATAAACATTAAAAGCAGCTAACAGACATCTCTTGCCTCTCCATGCCATCTTGTCTCAAGATGGTCGGAGCGAGAGACAACTGAGATATCTTTTGTATAGACAATATGGGACTGAATTCCTCATCCAACAATTCTTTTAACAGTTTTGGTAAAGTGAGCAGAGGATTGCCTCTCTCTGCACTCTCGCTTAAGTCTATTACTTGGAGACTGGCAGACCAAGATTTATTTTTCAGGGTCTCCAGCCTGTGACATGATTGCGCACTAGTTTATGACATCTGATCCAAAGCTGAGTGCGGTCAGTAGAAGCCTTTCCATTGACATTGTTCAAGTTTGGATCAGGTTCTGTAATAAAGTAATACTTTGCAATTATTTAATTCCAGGTTAATTTGATCTTCTTAGGGCAGGTCTTCACTACGGGGGGGGGGTCGATTTAAGATACGCAAATTCAGCTACGCTATTCGACGTATCGGAGAGGACTTACCCCGCTGTAGGGACGGTGGCAAAATCGACCTCCGCGGCTCCCCGTCGATGGTGCTTACTCCCACCTCCACTGGTGGAGTAAGAGCGTCGATTCGGGGATCGATTGTCGCGTCCCGACGAGACGCGATAATTCGATCCCCGAGAGATCGATTTCTACCCGCCGATTCAGGCGGGTAGTGTAGACCTAACCTTTGTTAACAATGACAGATTACTTCCTACTATCTTTTCTAGGGAAGTCTCAAGTTAACTGAATCTTGGTGGGGGAGGGGGGACAC